GGAAACACAGGGCAATGTGGTGGATGGAGTCCAGGGGGGTTAGGGAACTGAGGATTGACATGTGGTGTGATCGCAACTCCCGGCATCATGGTTAAGGGCGGAAGCGACACCTGCGCAATTTGGGGCAAGCCTGCAGCTTGTGGCTCAAAGCCCATAGGGGCTGGAGCTCTAATATCTGACCCATGGTTTGTATAGTATGATTTGTTGCAGTCCTAGCTCGCTTTCTCGATGAAGCAGGTTGCTGCGTCGAGCGTGAGCGGCGATGCGAGTGATAAGAATCCATAGAAGCAACAGTAGCAGGCATGCCACTTCTTGACAAAGGAAGATGGGCAACTTCTCCAGCATAGCTATTGGTAGCTTTGTGTAAGGAATGATGTTCCTTGAGGCCGACCTTCTTTATTCCCTTGCTATAAATAATGTACAACAATGTAATTACATATTTATATAACGGAGTGTGAGATGAATGGAGTTGAACTCCTTTCCTCCACACCTGTCGAAATATAGCTCTATACAGCTTATCTCTTTGACGGACTTGAGGAACTAGGAGATACAAGGTCGGCACCTACACCGACCTTACACTTTGTCCTCACCATCACCAATGCCATCATTATTCTCACCCTCATCCCTCAACCCCCCCCTGAAGGCGTCTGGAGCTTGATCCCCTAACTTGGCTTCCCACAGAGTGGCCATGATGCAACCTGTATCACTAATAATGATACCACTCTCATCATGATATTCGGTATGATTGAATGCTCGGAACTTGGGTCAGGCATCGGGATTACTGTGATGAAGAGCATTCCAGATATCCTGCCACTGTGCTGTGCTTATACCAGTGACAAGCTGCTTCCAGAAGAGACTGGCCCACTCCTGACGATCTGGCCAGTTCACGAGAGCCAAGCCAGTGGCCTGTAACTTATAGGGAAGCCGCTTCCACGCAATCATTTTGGAACTATCCCCGAAGAGAGACTTCTGCTGCATCATCCACAATAGAATCTCCAAGCACTTCACCTGGTACTCCTGCTTCTTAGGGGTCCAGGTGGATCGGATAGGATCGGATTAGGATCAGAAATCCCGGATTGGGACAACCTCCCAATGGCCAATCCGGATCCGCCGGATGAAAATCCCGGATGATCCTGGATGATCCTGGATAATCACATCTTAAGATTTCTTTGTATTTTAACATGTATTTACCTGAATTCCGATCATAAATAAATTTGGAAGCTATTCAAATGGGCTATTCATCAATGTAAAGTGTGTTGACACTGTGGGAAACAGTCCTGACACCCCTTTACATGGTGGTCAGCATGAGTACAGACATTGAGTCACCCCAAAGACTCGTGTCCAAAATAGTATTTTGCATTTTTCTCGATAATTTACTGGTCAATTTAGTCTCAAATTGTATATTCTGGAAGCTATTCAAATAGGCTATCCATTTGGTGTAAAGTGTGTTGACACCGTGGGAAACAGCCCTGACACCCCTCTGGACAGTGGCCAGCATTGTGCACAGACAGTGAGTTTGGACAGCCACAAGTATTTGCAGACTCGCGTCCAAAAAAGTATTTTGCATTTTTCTCGATAATTGATTGGTCAATTCACTCTCAAATTGTATATTCTGGGGGCTATTCAATAGGGCTATCCAACTATGTAAAGTGTGTGTGGACCGTGGGAAACAGTCTTGACACCCTTCTGGACAGCAGCCAGCAATGTGCACGGACAATGAGTCAGGAGTTAAAATATCTCGGATGACTTTGCTACAATACAATAATTTCGGAGGCCCCCAAACCAATAAGGGGGCTGTTAGTTGCATGCTAGCAATGGGACTCCATCCCGGATCATCTGGGATCATCCCGGATGCCAATCCCGGATCAAGAATACATCCTGACCCCCAATCCTAATCTGGCATCCGGGATCGAATGTTACAAAAATGGGGCCGGAGGCGCCCATTTTCGTCCATTCGAGGCACAGGGAAAGGGAAAGGGGAAGGGAGGTGGTTCATTAGGGTTTACAGATGTTATCACAGGCAGTTTAACATTAGTTGTAACAGATGTTAGCACAGCGGGTTTTTGGTTGTTTATTGATTGGATAAACTCTATTACTATACAAATCATGTGATACAGAACCCATAAGAGTCTAAAATGGGAAATTCCCATTTCCATAACATCGAAAATTCCGGATCATCCGGGATAATCCGATCCACCCAGAGCCCTACTGCTTCTTCACGGGTTCAGGGGGGTGATCCGTCTGACCATTGGGGTGTTGTGGAATAGAGTGGCCCATGGGCCTCGACGATGGATGTCAGTCGAGGGGGAGTTCTGCTACCACAGCGAACACCCGGCACAGGCCTAAACCTTCACGTGGTGCCCCTGTTTAAAACTAATTAGGCCTCTAACATCTGAAGGGAGGATGACGTGGCCACCGTGGTAATGCCAATCAACCGCAACCCTGTAAGCCCAGAGCCGCACTGGCTGGAGAGATGCAAGAGCGCGGGTGCATGTCCCGCTGTCAAGCCAACCCTTCCTTTTTCTTCTCACCACTACCTTTTTGGGATGACAAGCGCGATAGTGGCAACGCCAATGGTGACCTCCGTAAGCCCAGACGGGACTGGCCAGACGACTGTGGGTTCAAGTCCCACCGTCACCCCAACCCTTCCTTCTTTTTCTCTTCTCCACTACCTTTTGGGATGGTGAGGTGCAATAGTGGTAGCGCCAATGGTAGCCTCCATAAGTCCATGGGCAGGCCGGAGGAGTGCAGGTTCAAGTCCTGCCATCACCCCAACACCCTTCCGATTCATCTTTCTCTCCACTACTTCTTCGTGACGAGGCGCAATAGCGGTAGCGCCAATGATAGCCCCATATGCCGACAAAAAGTTGACTGCAAGGAATGCAGGTTCAAGTCCTGCCGTCACCCCAACACTTTCATTTCTCTCCACTACCCCTTCTACCAAAGGCCTATCTGCCACATGCCTTTATTCAACAAGCATGAGCAAGATGCCACCAACACCCATCGCCTTTCGCTGCCACTGGAACATTCACCAGCCTACCATGACATAAACCCGTGAAAGCACCCTCCAACTCACCCACCCGCAAGAACCGCACACTCAAACATTGACTTAATCATAGGCACACAGCAGCAAAACATGCAACCCCAACACTGGGGGTCGCATGTCCTTTTCTCTATCCAACCTCTTTCCACCTCCATTCTCCCTCACCCGTTGTTCAATCTCAGTGCAGGGGTCGCATGCCCCTTTATGTGTTATTGCTTCATCTCACTTTATTCTCCTTCACACCATTGATTACTCGATGTCTCATACTTCCTAGGTCAAACAAATTCCTTTCTTCACATCTTATGTTCTCCAAACTTTTTTCACCCGAGTCACTATAGTACGGCATATGCCAATAGGCACGGTTATGTACTCTAAAATGAATCCATCCATCCATCCATCCATCCATAGAGTGGCCCATTGCAGTATGCACATCCATTGCAATCTGTCCCAGTGCAACTTTGAAGTTGGGCATGACTTTCCCGAGGTAAGTTTGTGTCAGGGGACGACTCCCGGGTCCCCATGACCCTCCCCTATGGTCCACAGCCCTGAGGTGTAACCAGCCCTATCCAGGGCACAACCTACTGTGGGTAAGAAGATGAGAAGGAAGCTAACCTCTCATCTTCCCACAGTGGCCACAATATCAGCAAAACTTCCGGGGATACCCGGAAGTCACATGAAGGGGTAGGAACCGGGCCCGGAGCATGCAGTGCGCGCAGCATGCGTGCGTGCGGGAAGCGCGGCAGGTGGAAGCGGGTCCGGACACGGGTCCAGGTCCGGGCTAGTCAGGGTGTGTGCCCTGACAGTTTTCAGAACCTCACTACCACAAACAACCTGGTCCAACTCATGGGGCAATGCATCGCTGCTCCCAGATATGACAATGGCAGCACAATGAACACCAACCACAGCTGCTCCTGTAACCTCTTTCTTGAACCGTTTTGTCCAAAACCTCATGAGGCGCTTCTGAATGGGGCCAGGACTGTTCCCAAATTCGCCACCAAGTCTAGTCTTCCTTTCCTCATGCTCAAAGACCAAGTTCTGAGCGTAGGTAGCCCACTGTGGGGAATCCTCACCCCCCATGCTCTCAACGAGGGTCTGGTATGCAGGCTTCACTGTTATTTTCATGTACTCAGAGGCAGAGACGTTCTCCGGATCAGGGTTAGGGGATTCTTGGAGAAACTTGACTTGGAAAGCATTCCAGGGATTGCCGTGGCTTCGGTGGTGCCGCTGTGAAAGCAGGACACTGACAAGGGCAAGAACGGAATCGAAAGTCCTATGTTTGGCTTTCGCAAACGAATTGACATCCTCCATAAAGCGTTCTGTGATGCCCGCAAGTTCCGTTCTCTCCGAGTTGCTGAGTTTTCCGCTCTTCATCGTTTCATCAAGCTTGTCATCACAGCTCCCTTCGTCTCCACCTTTATTATGGAGGTTGCTAAGAAGGTTCAAGCACCCGTCATCGCCTAAGGGCTCCAATGTCTTGTGCAAGGATGTAGATGTGGTGTCTGCACCAACATGAGGATGAATATCATCCCATTGCATGGATACTGTCAGGGCCCGGCCTCGGACTCGGAGGCTCCCTGACCTCAACCCCCATCTAACCTGTCCTCACACTATGCGGGGCATGAGATGTATAGTAAAAGGAAGAGAGTATATACACTTGCCTATGTGGGGCATGAGATGAGAAGAAGGGTAAAGGTCTCATCTCCCCGGGTCACACTACACAACTCTAGGAGCTGTATAGTTGTGGGCATGTGACCCATTCCTTTATATAGCAACCATGCGGAGGGAACATCCAGGTGGCATTGCCCAGTGAGCGTGGGAACGTTCTGGGCAAGTTGCTTGCCCAGAATTGTGGCTGTGACCCGTGGGAACATTCTGGGCGAGCTGCTCGCTCAGAAAGTTCCCACGCTATCCCGTGCGCGCGTGTACACAACACACAAAGGCAACAACAAGGCAACAGTCAAAGAATAAAGGGGGTAAAGTAGGTGGGGAGTCCGGGGCACCCTAAGGCAGGGTGCTGAACCCTGACAGATACGCGTGCGTTAACATGAGATCCTTCGGATTGATCATGGTGGGGACTGGGGAATTCAGCGCTGACTCTGGCAGTCACAACCTCGTTGTCTAAAGAACTCTCAAAGCAGCGGCTAGCGCCATTGGATAGTGTAGATGAGGATTGGGGGGCAGTACATATGGACCTGGAGACAGGAACCACCACAGAGCCATCAAGCAAAGCTTCTGGTGACTCAACCACCGGATTGTTGCTTAAAGATTCCTTGGGGAAATTGCTGCCGTGGTTGGATATGGGGATCAGGTTGGACACGGGGATCAGGTTGGGTATGGGAGTCAGGTCGGATACGGAGGTGAGGTCTGGCAGACATTGGGCAGTGCTGCTATCACAAGTACCAGCAGCACTCAAACAGAGTTGTGGGTGCCCTGGGGGTGAGGCGGCACAACCTGCTCCCTCAGCTTGAAGTCCATCCTGAGTGATGATGGGAAGAACATCAGTTTTCCGTGATGCCACCTTTTTCCTAGACTTCTTAGGTTTACCACATTGACTTGCAGCTTTCTTCCTTGATGGTGGAGGTGCCGAGGGCTCGTTCATTTCCTCTGCTGTGTGGTGAGATGAGGAACCGTGGACTGACGTTGCAGGGGAAGGAAGGGGGTTCAGTCGAAGCTTAAGCTTGAGAGGTGGATGGGACATGGCTGATGCGGAGGTTGACATGAACACTCGGAATGGGGGTAAGGCACAGGTCAATGCTAAGTAGGATGCTACAGTGCAGCTTCCTTGGCACTGAAATCCCCTTCTAGCAATAACTTTGGGATGGGATTAAGTCTGCAACAAAAACTTGAAGCTCTTGTTAATCCCACAATTCGCTACCAGTGCAAAGACCCAAGAAAATGATAAAACGACTATAGGTACAGGCAATAGTCAGTATCAGAGTGATGTGTGACTGTGAGAACATACTTTGAAGTTCGAAGCTGGAGGAAAACGACGAGCGATCCGGCACAAATACAGCATAATAAAGTCACGTGTGAAATTTGTTTACTGTAGTGTCACACCCACATAATGATGACACAAAAACGCAGGGCCATATGGCACCATTCAGGTTGCTAGTTACCATCATGAGTAGTCGTGTGAAATTAGAATATTAAACTATGACTAATCCGGGGCAGCTAAGGCTGTGGCAGGAAATGGCCACAGTGACCCACACAGCTCATCGAGGCAAGATACTTATGTACCTGTAAGGGATGAGTGGTAGAGCGGTGATGTGTGCAAAGTGCGCTTTATTCTTTGTATACAATGTAAACAACTGTATTTACATTTGTATGGCTCGGGCTCGGGTAAAGGGTTCTTTACTCTTTACCCTCCCCCCTGTCAAATCTAAGCTCGATACAGCCTACGATCTTGACAGCCAGAGGACTGAGGAGTCACCCAGGTCGGAACCCACACCGACCCTTACAGTACCAGTAAGAGAAAAGTAAAAAGACCAGCGAAATGCATAAACGCAAGAGTATTGTACATAGGAGAGAAGACACAAATGGCCAAAACATGAGCCGAGGGCAATGAATACGAGGTCGCTAATGATAATAACTAACTGCCATGGTCATTGTCAAAGCCATTTGTTAGCAAAGTGACTTTAAAGAAAACCATTTGAATTTTTGGCATCAAAACGGGAATCAGTGGTTATATCCAGTGCTGCCATAGCATCGGCAAAAGCACCATTCTCCTCAACCTCATCTGGCTCCAGCTCACCATCCTCATCATCATCTTGACTAATGTCGGAGTCTGTGCCATTGTTCAAGGTTTGGAGAGCAGCATGCTGAATATCCAAATGACGGAAACAATAGACTTCTTTTGGCTGAGGTGGTGCAATTTTGGGCCAAGGAGGTGCATCATCAGAACAGGGGACATCATCAACATTCTTGTCTCTTTCACCTTCACAAGCAACAAGTAGGGAGGCATAGGCCTGATACTTGTCAGTGAGCCACTGCCGAATATTGGCATGTTCCGCACTCAGTCGACAAATCTCTCAGTCGCAATTCTTTCCCTCTCGCACACAATGAATGCTCTCCCGGACGTTTGCGTCCACCATCCAACTCAGGAGCATGTCACAGCCCCGCAAAGTCCCTGCCCTTCTACCACTTTCTGCACCCTCATTCTTGCGCCCGTTACTTGCGCCTGTTAATCATGCCATTGCCCATCACTTAGCGGCGCCAATAGTGGTTCCTGTTCTACGGCCCCGTAGCAGCACCTTCTTCGTTCTCCCACCACCACTTGGGTTCCTCAGCCATTCGGCCGATACCGTTTTATTCTTATTCATTCGCTTAACTAACTAGCAGTCATTATGGTCGCCGCTGATCTGCTCCTTATTGACATTTGGTTTATTCCTTTATTGACAATTGGTTATTCCTTTATTGACATTTGATTTATTCGTATATTGACATTCTGATCCACCACCATATTGGCACCTAGATTGTTGGCCTATTCATTCTGCCTCCCAACTTTGCCGTCCTCTGTTCCATTCATTTCTTCTGTTCCATTTCCCTGGTCCTCATCGCTCTTTTAGTTCTGTCATACTTACCATCCCGCTGAAGGAGCGGAGCTGGATCACCTTATGTAACCAGTTTCCTACGTCCAATAACGATATTAGAGTTTGTGCTGATTTGCGTACTGACCGTGTTTTGGTTGCCAAATATATGATTGTTCACTGTCTAAACAACAATAAACACCCCCCAACGATCTCACCTGATGTATAGATCGTCTACGGATAAAATTCTATATTGACTTTACTATGATTTCTAGTCAATATTACACCTATATTTACCACTTTTCAGTAGGATGTGATTTTCCTGATAATTTACTGAAGGAAAACTGCTAATAAAATAATTCCGCAATAAATGTTACTCAATACAGGAGTGACCAAACTGCTCTTTCTATCGCTTAGAGTGCGTGCTAGTTATCTAGCAGGTTCAGGATCGCTCACTTTTCTCCTGTGGTGTGATAACCAAGTATTGCTGAGAGATTATTCAATTAAGAAGTCCCTCCACCAAATTCTCACTAATTCTCACTATGACACTTTTGTTCAGCTGTGTCCAACTGACCCTAACTCACGCTTAGAGTGACATGTTAGTTTTATATTAGCTAACAACTAATATTTGCTTTTATCTTTTGGAGCAAACGAACCAACCACTGGTGAGGAGAATTAAACTTTTATTTCTACCTGAGGTTTGAGAGGGGGCAGAAGCGGTGGCCTTTTATGCTTTTCAGAGGCCTCTCTACTCCCACGCCTCGCACTAGTTACATGTGCTACATTTGTATTATAGATAGTTCTAGAATGATATAGGGGCTTGGGCTGTGTAAGCTTAATAATGGACTTAGGACATGACTCAGCAATAAGTAATTCATTTCTTTGTCTTTTGGGCCGATCTCAGCGGGATCTTGTAGCGCTGAAGCTATGCTCTACACCGCCTTAATTACGAACGGTTATCTTTAGAAATGACTCGGCTATAAAGGAACTTTCTAGACTGTTCTCTAATTGACCCCTTTTTGTGAAGCCACATCATTACTAATGTTCTAGAGCCTTCCCAATTAATTAACTGATCCGCGGACTTCTGAATCACTTCATGCTTATGATCCGAGATCCAGATCATCAATCATTCCTTTGTTCCGATTTATTTGGGCTTAAAATCAAAAAGTTTTGATGAATCATGGGAAAATATACAAGATCCGGTTTTTTAGCATTTTCTCCTCTTCTGATGCGATCAAAAACTGTCCGCCCGCGCCGGGGAATACTCTATCATATGGTATTCGGTCCGCCAGACTTCCGGGCGCCAATATATTTCCCTTGAGTCACATTACTTTTTGTAAGAATTAGCAAATAAATATATATGAATTATAAGGTGTTTCGCCGTTTGAGCGATATCTCCGTCAGTTTTGAAGCTTTTAGAATGAAACAAAACCGTGGATAAAGTTAAGAAACAGTCCTTTCAGATGGTAAAAAGATTACAGTCAAAAGTTTACTGGTTCCCGAGATATTCACATTTCTTTCCCAATGTTCTTTCTTATTCTGCCGTCTATGTGCTATTTTCTTGTTGTAGGGTTATATTCTTTGAATATTACACCTATGCCAAGTTCTAGGCATGATTGTAGTAGATTAAATCTCATACTACATGGGTGTAGATAATTTATAATGATCTAATGTCTGTCCAGTCTCATAAAGATCATGAGATCTGTTAAACGTCTGAACTTGTCACCTGTTCATTGACTATTCTGATAGATCATTGTTTTATTCTTTGAATATTATTTCTCCTACACCGCTCCCATGCCATGCCGGACCGACCGGCCCCTTCTCTGTTCTCCTTTTGTATTTATACTTGTAGTTTACTGTCGATGTACCTTAGTTCGAATATCGACTAGAATTCCCCCCCCAAGTATTCTCATCCTAAGTTCGCCTCTCAACTTCATCCCCGCTTAAGTCAATGTCGCTGCAAGGTCTTTCCCGCTAACATGAAATACGGGACAGCCTAGAATGCGTGGCGCAACGCTCTGCCCAAGTCGTTGAAGCTGAAGTCCCAACCCCCACGACGCCTTGCAACGGAGTAGCTCATTAGCTAAGTGACCACTCACGCCGCCGTACTCCGCTCCACTTCCCATGATCACCTCAAATACAGTTTCTGACAGTATATTTGAACTCACTGCACGTTCCAATGGCTTCTAGACACTACGTAACTCGTTTGCAGACCCGCGAACCATTGTCAGGGGACGCCCGGTTATCCGGCCCCCCTTTACTCTAAGCGATATCAATGAGGTAATTTTTAGCCGAGATTGCGTGAGATAATTACATAGTTAGAACGCAGATATAACTCATTGCGCTATATTCACTATCGTGTCACCCCTTACCCGATATTCCCTCATTTCCCGCATCTTCTATCTTCCTATTTGATGTCGTGTTTCTATTAGTTACCATCTTCCCAATGTAACTGCACTCTCGTGAGTTAGCAGAACTCATGTACATAAGGCTACTATGCCAGCTGGGCTAGCCCCCCAGCTTTGATATCGACTAGTTTCCTGGGGATACTCTTACGCTGCGAATAGACGCGCGGACTCTGACAACCATCCACCTCCACACAACAGCACCAATCTGGTCTCGGGATTCCTGACGACTACGACCTCGACATCGACACACCCTTTGCTAGCTTCACAGCTGACCGCGGAGGCCAACGATCGTCGACGCCTGTTTTTACAAGGTCCCGATCTGAGGCTGAAGTGGAAGGTGATGTTGATGCCACTGCAGTTCCCGATCCTTCTGCACCTCGTCCTCTGCCATCTTCGTCAAGGCCGCCACCACCAGTTGACCCAGTTGTTCTGCCCCCTGATGGTCCTGTTGGTAACAACCCTGACCCTGATGATCCTGCTAACGTGCAAGACGAGGCAAGCATCCTGATTCAGTTAACTCGAGCCATTGCGGCTCTCGCCCAATCCAACGTCCCTCGTCAGCCGCCACCTCCGCCACCTCCACCTCTGCCAACTGCCTCGATTGACAATTATCGCACGAAGGTGCGCAAGCCTGACCAGTTTGATGGGTTGGACCAAAAGAAGCTCCGTACGTTCCTAGTTCAGTGTCAACTAAATTTCCGGGATCGTCCCCAGGCGTTTAGCTCCGACCGTAAGAAGGTTATCTATGCTCAGTCGTTCCTAAT